GGCATAGTGAGGGCAGACACAGGGAGAATATACGTCAATGACAGTTATTTTCATTATTATTGTTGTTATCATTACTATTTTGTGCTGGTACTGGGGCTTGCATTCAAGGACTTGTGCTCTCACTTGGCTTTTTCCACTCAAGGCTTGTGCTCTACTACTTTCTGCTATCATCATCATCATCATCATCATCATTATTTATTGCCAGCACTGAGGCTTGAACTCAGGGCTTGGAGCACTGTCCCTGAGCTTTTTTTTTTTTTTTTTAACATAAAGCTGCTCTCTACCACTTGAGTCCCAGCTCCACTTCTGTCTTTGGGTGGTTAATTGGAGATAAGAGTCTTACAAACTTTCCTGCTTGGACTGGCTTTAAACCTCAGACTTCAGATTTCAGCTTCCTGAATATCTAGGATTACAGGCATGAGCCATTGGTGCTCTGCTCCATTATTATTATTATTTTTTTTAAGGAAGCTCAGATTGTGTTTTATTGACTTCTTAAATGGAAAGCAACCGTCACTTGCTTGGAAGAACAAGAAACCATAAAATAAAATATATTGAATGGAAACATATCTATGCTGTTCTATTCTGGTTAGGGGTTGTTGCAGAGCAAGGTAAAGAAACAAGTGTTCAGGCCCAGTTAATACTAAATGCAGACTTCTCTGCTCAGTGTAGGAAGGATTAACTTGGGAAAACAGGAACTTTAAATGTCCTGTCTACTCTGCCCAGAAATATCTTCTAAGGTTTCACGGGTCTGGGGCTTCAGATGACTAAGGATTTGCCAGTCCTTCAAAGAGGCCCTAGCTTTTTTTCTTTTTCTTTTTCTTTGTTTTTGGTCGGTCATGGGGCTTGAACTCTGGGCCTGGGCGCTGTCCCTGAGCTCTTCAGATCAAGGCGAGCACTCTACCGCATGAGCCACAGCGCCACTTCTGGTTTTCTGGTAGTTAATTAGAGATAAGAGTCTCAGACTTTCCTGCCCGGGGTGGCTTTGAACCGCGATCCTCAGATCTCAGCCTCCTGAGTAGCTAGGATTACAGGCGCGAGCCACCGGCGCCCGACTGGCCCTAGCTTTTAATTTCAGGAGCATGGCTTTGTGTGTGTGTTTGTGTACACGCCCGTGTTAGGGCGGGACGGGGTTCGTTCCTGTTCACTTTCCCTCCTGATTGATCCAGGACAGTGGCTGGATACATAGACTGAAGCAGGAGGCAGTCTGACCTCTTCCCTGCACCTCTGTCTTAGTCCACTTCTCCAGGGAAGCTGGACGCGCCAGCCGGGCGGATGGGGGTGGGGACGGGCCGAGGCCGGCAGGGGGTGTGGCCACCGCTTGGTACACCAGACCGACAGGGGCACGCTAGAGCGGGGCAGGGCGGGGCCTCCCGATGAGGGCGGGGCCACCCGCAGGGGGCGTGGCCTCTCGTCGGGGGCGGGACCGGAACCCGGCAGCCAGTGAGAGTCCCGAGGGCCTGGGCCCGGGCCGGATCCGGGCGCGGGGCGGACGGTGAGTGTCGCTGATCCGGAGTGTCGCGGGAGCTCGGCCCCTGGGACCCCTGGCTCCCGAGCTGTCCTGGCCTACAGCGCCCGGGGAAGGGCTGGTCCCCAGGCTGGAGGGGTGGAGCGTGAGCAGACTTGGAGGTGTGCAGAGAGGCTGTGGCCAGGCCTGCAGGACGCCAGGCCCCCACCCCAGAGTGAGGAGACCCGGGGGGTCAGGGAGGGCCGTTCCCACCCCCGGGCTTTTCCCCGCTGCCAGCCTCAGTTTCCCCATCTCCACCCGTGGGAGGTGAGATCTGCCCTGTGAGTCTTCAGGCGTCTCCGTCCTCATCCGTTGCTCTTGAGTGTGCTAGGTTCGAGGTCTACCCCTGCCAGCACAGGCCCACACTGCCTGCCCGGAAGCCTGCTGCAGGGGGCTGGCCTCCTCCTTGGCTCGGTCCCCACACTCCATGTGCCCCCTGCGGCACAGACCTGAAGGTGTCACTTAGCAAGTGGCCTTCTGCCTCATGGGCGCCTCTGTGCCCTGAAGATTCTGCCTCTTGATGCTACAGCTGTCTCCCTGGATCGGTGTAGAGTAAATCCCACCCTTTCATTCTCTCAGGTCCTGGATGGAGCAATGGAGATAATTGAAAAATTAGACTTGTTCTCAGCCCTCATGGCGGGTGGAGTGGGGAGGTGTAGAATCCAGAAAGTAGCTCCTGGCAGTGACATGTGTAAATACATGACATCTGTGATGGAGGATAATAAAGCAGGGAAAGGGGCCAGGGTGCTAGGATTGGGGGCTGCCATTATACAGTATATTCAGGAAGGCCTCTCATAGACAGCACCTGAGCAGAATCTTAAGAAGATGAGGGCAAGTCATGTGATATGTTCACCAAGCATAGAGCCTATGCAAAGGCCTTGGGGCAGAAGCAGGATGGAGGCTGGGGTGGGATGACAGGCAAGCCTGGCTTGTCCTTGAACCAAAGATGAGGCCTGGATGGCTATAGCAGGATGGTGAAGAATGGATGGGAATTCGGAAGAGTGGATGCAGAAAGGAGAGCTTTGGGGAGGGGAGGGCCCCCCCATCTAGAGTTTGGTTTTTACTCTGAGTAATATGAGAGCCATCAGAAGGCTGTGAGAATGGAGTCCCCAGCTCTCCCATAGGAGGGCCAAGCAGGCTCATCAAGCTGAGGAGTTGAGAACAGACCCAAAAGGGAGAAGGCAGCAGAGAAGACCAGTGAGGAGCTGCTGCTGTCATTCTAGGGAGAGGTTGTGGCATAAAAGGGTAGAGAGAGTGCTATATCTGAACTTTTGGCTCTAGGGTGTCAATAGGGCTTGGGGAGAGCCATTGGCTCTGAGGTTTTTGCCCAGAGCACCTGGAGGTTAGGGCTGCCATCACCACCTGCATCAGTGTAAGGGAAGATCAGAGTTCTGCTCTGTGCTTGTTTGCTTTCAGCTGCCCCTAGGCACCCACAGCCCAGCTACATCCAGTAGACAATGGGGAGAAGTTTCAGTGGGGCTGGAGCTGGCAGTAAAGTTTGGGCATTGTCACTGTGGAGCTGGGGTTTCATGCTAGAACAAGTAGGCTCACTCCGGAAAGAATGAGTGATGGAGAGAGAAGAGGAGAAGAGAAGGGCTGGGAGGGGAGGGGAGAAGAGATGGGAAGGGAAAGGAGAGAGGAAAAGAGTATAGGGAAGAGGAGAGGAGGAGAAGGGAGAAGAGAGGTGAAGAGAGGAGAGGAGGGAGATCATTCAGGTCTGGGGGCTGCAGGGACAGAAAGAGCCTGGAGTGAGATGGGGAGGAATGGGAGAATGGGTGTTCTGGATGAGGGAGAAATGCTCAGAGAAGAGGGGAAAGGAGGGAGGATGAGGAAGAGGAGGAGGAGGAGAAGGAGGAGGGAGGAGGGAGAAGGGAGAGGAGGAAGGAGGAGTTACAACAAATGCCTTTGGTGGAGCCAGCCGGGGGGAGAGCTGAGGATTGAGCACTGGGAGGTTCTGGTGATCTTGAGCAGTCTGAGGTCCCAGTTGGCAGGAAAGTGGGGAGGCCTTGGGCTCCACACCCCTGGACACTGAGCTGACAGGGTGGGCCCAGAGAGGGCTTTGCTCTTTCCATGGGGGAACTGGTGCCTTGGGACTGGTCTCACATGCAGCAGCTTAGAGCCTGTGAGGGCAGGTAGAGCCATTGCTCTGAGAGACCTGGCCCAGGTTATGACCCAGGAAGCTCAGCAGCAGCAGCTTTCCTGGGCCCCTCTGCAGTCCACAGGAGCTGGGGCTGGGGCTGAGACCTCAGTGCTGAGCCCAGCCCCTGGCTAGATGCGACAGAGAAGCCAGCCTGGCCACCATCTTGGTCTCCAGAAGCAAGGAGGTGTCAGTGCATAGCTGTGGATTGAGAATGGTGAGAGGGTTTGTGGGTCACCCCTTAACTCTCTGTTTTAGCAAGAGGGTAGCCCTGTTTTTACTGGGGTTCCGCCTTGGGTAGAAAAATAGTGACTCCAAAGTCATAAAAATTGAAGTAGAGAAGAAAAGCTGATGTAAGTAGACCAATGGTGTGTGTGTGTGTGTCTGTGTGTGTGTGTGTGTGCGTGTGCCAGTCCTGGGACTTGAGTACTGTCCCTGAGTTTTTTTTCTCTTTCAAGTCTGGTGCTTTATCACTTGAATCATAGATCCACTTCTGGCTTTTTGTTGGTTCATTGGAGAAAAGCATTTCATGGACTTCCCTGCTCAGGCTGGCTTTGAACTTTGATCCTCAGGTCTCAGCTTTCTGAATGGCTAGGATTGCAGACATGTGACACCAGTACTCTGCTTAGACTAATGTATTTAATCTGAAGATGGAAAGAATGACCTAGTAAGGTCATTCAAGAGCCACCTTTTAGGGACAAATTTTTACTAATAGAAGGGAGCAGAACATTGATCACTTTTTATTCCCCCCCCTCCTAATTTTAAGTGAAGCAGGATAATTGTGAAGACAGCACCAAGGCCAGATCTTACTTTTCATGAGAGAGAGAGTGATGCTGGCCCTGCTTTGAGATGGGAGCTGGCCAACTTGGTCCATGGGAATAGACACTCTTGTTCCGAGGCTTCTAGAAGACTTGCACAGATGGGGCTTTCCAGCTGCTGGGTGGGAGGACAGAGCACCAGGCCTCATGGCTTGGGCCTGTCCCTTCCTGTGCCTGCTGAATCCTCATGTCACCAGCTGGGGTGTGTGTGTGGCTGGAGCATTGGCCATAGCCTGGGTGTGTATGGGAAAGGCCCCTGTTTGTGTCTCTTTGTGGATGAGCACATCTGAATGTAAGGGCAATTATGTCGCCAGGGTCTGCATCTGAAAGACCTAGAATTGCCAAGAGTTACTGCATTCTGTCTGGCTGACCAGCTGGCAAGGTCTGGCTTCCGGGGCTCATTCTTTTGGGAGTTCCCTAAGGTGGGGCTGTGACAGATTCAGAACAGCTAGTCTAGCACCACTGGGCTTTGCTGTCTCTACTTCAGACTCACCCATAGAAGTCTGGTAGCACTCCAGCCCTCTAGGGTTGGTGGGCCAGGCTGTGGCAGGAGAAGAAAACAGCAGATGTCTCTGCCTGGGATTCTGTAGGTAAGGGGAACTGCACTTCACCTCTGTATCACTCCTGCCTTCTTCAAAGAATTTCCTGGTTGTATACATGCATGCTCACCAGGCCTGGGGCCCAGGCTTCCTCTTTCTGGGCATTTTCAGAGGGTAGGTGATTATTTTCTTCAGGACTTGGGGGTTTGGGTTCCCCTTGTTCTCCCCACCACCCCACCAGGAAACATTCTTTTAGCACCCAGCCTCCAGTGCCCCCTGCACCAGGGCCAGGTGCACAGTTCACCTTGCTGTCTCTGGCCAGCCCATGCTTGGTAGCATTCTGATTTATAGATTTCTCCTTTTGCTTCCTTGGACTGTCCCAGGATGGTCACAGGATGTCCCAGCCCCTGATCTCCCTTTGTAGGTTGGGATTCAGGAACATTCCACGGCGTATGAATGTGGCCTGTGCAGACAAAGCTTAGGATGAGGACTCTGGTTGCTCCGAGAGAGACAAAGACAGCCCACTGGAAAGACGCAAGCCCCAGGCCACTTCGCATCTGCTCTGGGCATCTGGGAATGTCCCCGACGTATTAGAGGAAGCCCGTGGTCATCTTCTGCCTCGGTTGCCAGTACTTTTCATGTTAGTTTTCTCAGGGCACAGGACCAGCCCTGGTCCCCAGACCCTGTGACAATCACAAACAGACCTGCTGAGATTTTCTCTGTACTTGGGGACCCTCCCAGAATCTGAAGCTCTGGGGGGTGAGGGGTCACCTTCCCTCCAAGTCCCAGCATCTAGAGACTGGGATATAGCCCAGAACCTGCCACTGATGACAGTGGCAGGGTGTAGACATTGTGGTGGGGGCTGTGTAGGAGGAAGTGAGGGCCTCATGGCAGGTCTGTGTGTGTGTGTGTGTGTGTGTGTGTGATGCTGATCTGTTGCCAGTAAGCTGATGCCATGATCTGCCATTTCCTTTGGGTGGGGTCTTTACTGCAGGAAAGATTCTGCACGATAGAGCTTCCCTATTGGGCATACGCATGAGGGGTGGGGCTTGAATCTCCATGAAGAGCCCAGGGATATGGCACTTGAGGGCATCCTGGGGTCACACTGCTTGCATTCAGATTCCAGCTCTGCCTCCCCAGGGTGTGGCAAGCTATACAAGTCTCTTGCCTGTGGGTCCCAAGTTTCTTCCTCTGTACAATGGGGCTGGTCACAGCACCCACTTCGTAGAGGCTGGGAGGTAAGTGATTTCATACAGGAAAGTCCCTGGGACCATGCTCGGTACCTCACTGGGGTTTCATGGCTATTAGTCATTACTGAAACTGTGTGGGACACAGCCAACAGCACTGCCTGCTCTGCTTTGGAGAATGAATGGCGATTCCTTGGCAGCTCTTGCTCCTCCTATTCGCCTGGCCTTTCTAAACAACAACTTCCTCCTCCTCTTCCTCCTCCTCCTCGTCCTCATCCTTCCCTCTTCTTTCTTCTCTTTGTAGCAGTACTGTGGCTTGAATTCAGGGCCTGAGTACTCTTGCTTGTTTTTTTCACCCAAGGGTGGCACTGACCACTTGAGCCACGCCTCCACTTCCGGCTTTTTGCTGGTTAATTGGAAATCAGAGTCTCAAAGAGCTGGGTTCTGGTGGCTCATGCCCTTAATCCTAGCTACTCAGGAAGCTGAGTTCTGAAGATCACAGTTTAAAGCCAGCCTGGGCAGGAAAGTCTTGAGATTATGCTCTCCATTTAACTACCACAAAGTCCGAAGTGGAGCTGTGTCTCAAATGCTGGAGCTCTAGCCTTGAGCCAAAAAGCTCAGCAGCAGTGCCTAGGCCCTGAGTTCAAGCCCCAGGACTGGTACATGCATAAAAAAGGCTCTCATGGGCTTTTCTGCTTAGGCTAGCTTTGAACCCTAATCATCAGATCTCAGTGTTCTGAGTAGCTAGCATTATTAGGTGTATGCTACCGGCACCTTGCTAAACTTGTTAAAGCAGAGACTCAAGGGTGTTGATATAGCATTTGGCCACTTCAGACCCTGGGGTAAAGATTTTGAGGCAGTTTCTGGCCTCAGGGGCTCGTTTGCATGTATGCACACTGGGCAGCTTGGGTTGTATAGGCTTGAGTAGACACATTGCTGATTGGATTTCTCTCCCAGGTTTTGACATGTGCTCACGGGAAGATTTCCAAGCACAGAGAAGCCAGCTGGTGGCGCTGTTGGTCTCAGGGTCCCTGGAGGGCTTCGAGTGCATCCTGGACTGGCTGCTGTCCTGGGAAGTGCTCTCCTGGGAGGATTACGAGAGTCTCCGCCTCCTGGGCCAGCCTCTGTCTCACTCAGCTAGGTGCCTGCTGGACACAGTCTGGAGCAAGGGTGCTTGGGGCTGTGAGAAGCTCATCGCGGCTATCCAAGAAGCACAGGCCAGCAGCCACAGCCCCGAGGTGCATGCCTGCTGGTCCCCCCATTCAAGGCAGCCAGCCCAAGACCTGCAGAGTCACCGGCCAGCTGTTGTCAGGAAACTCTACAGCCACGTGGAAGCCGTGCTGGACTTGGCACAGGAACGTGGCTTCCTCAGCCAGTACGAGTGTGATGAAATCAGGCTGCCAATCTTTACATCATCCCAGAGGGTAAGACCCTCCAGTTTGTTCAGCAGAATTTCCAGGAAATGGATACTTAGTCACCAAGACTATGGTTCTAGGGAAGTCAGTCCTATGGGGGTATCTTGACCTGAAGAGTTCCCCTTAAACCATTAGTCAGGGAAGTCAGAGTTACTTTGGGTTCCTGGTGTCTTAGACCTGTGTGACCATCCAGGGCTGGGGCTCTGCAGCCGGAGTGATGTACATGTGATGTCAGCCTTCTCTACAGAACTCCCTATCCTTACCCTCCCGTCCCAGTCTCCTCCTGCAAAACCCTGGCAGTAGTCATACAGGGCCTAGTGTTTGAGGTTTGAGGGAGAACCCAATGAGCTAATACCTAGGGGAACTCCCTAGAAACATCCCCCTGGGTGGCTCTTATTTCTGCTCTGAATGAGCAGTGTTCTCTATTTGTACATTTTATGGTACAAATAATATTGTGGTGTTTTGTTTGTTGGTACTTACTCTCACTCCCCTTGTTTGTTTAAGAATGGTGCTGTGCCACTTGAGCCATACCTCTGCTTCTGGCTTTTTGCTGGTTAATTGGAGAAAAGATTCTCTCTTATTTGTCTGCCTGGGCTGGCTTTGAACCACAACCCTCCAGATTTTAAGCCTCTTGAGTAGTTAGGATTATAGGCGTGAGCCACACAGGCACCTGGCTTATTGCTTTGTTTTAAATAAACAGCTCAACAGAGTATAGATAGCATTTCATTATATTAAATCTGTACTGAAAGATATAGCACACTGAATTCTAATGTAGTTGAAATGAATACCTAGGGGTTCCGATATAAAATTTTATTAGATGAGTCATTCAGAGTTGGAATAAGCCCACCCTTGATAATGCAGTGATTCTACAGAGACTACAGGGACAGAAAAGAGTCTGTTGGGTATTTTTGAAACTCCATTTTATTTTCCTTTACACAGTGCATCTTAGTCAGATGGAAACAGTCACTAACGTTCCACTCTGTAGACTAGGAAATGCAGAAGCAGGGACAGCATCAGGACGAGAGCAGGGAAGGGTGGGGCTGGTGTTTCCCCCACCACCTCGACTCTTTCACTCCTCATTCATTTGCTCATTCATTCAGTCATGCCCCCAAGGGGTGTTTAAAGTGCTCTACCTATGGTAGGTACTCAATAAATACTTGTTGATGTAATAAATGAGGGTTTATCAAGTGAATTCTGGTGATAGTGGAATAGTAGGTGGGCTGAGTTGGGGAATGGTCTAGTTTTTCTTTTTGTGTCTTAAAATATATACATATGGGTATAATTCATGTATATGTGTGAGTGTGTGTGTGTGTGAGCGAGAGAGAGAAAGAGAGAGAGAGAGAGAGAGAGAGAGAGAGAGAGGTTCAAGTCTAGGTAAACCTAAATTGAGATTCATAAACTAAACACCTCTGTCTTGTTCTTTCCAAGTAGTGCATATGAAATCCACAATTATATTCCCAGCACAAATTCCTTGGATCTGGTTCACTCCAAGGAGATGCAAAAAACATATTACTTATTGTACTTACCTTGGTGTGTCTCTGTGTATGTTTGTATGTGTGCTAGTACCGGTGCTTGAACTCAAGGTCTTAGCCTCTCACTTGGCTTTCTTGCTTATGACTAGACTTCTAGCAGTTGAGCCATACCTCCAGTCTGGAGTCTCTTGAATTTTTGTGATCTGTGGTAAGGATAGAATCAGCCCCTTCAAGAGCTTACAGTGTTGTGTCTTGTCTTAGCTTTGGCTGAGTGCTCTCAGTATGTTCTGACTGGATTGTCTGAAGTATTTGGAGAAGGTGGCTGAGATCCTTAGGGCCCCGAGGATATGGCATGAATACAAGATCTTTCTGGATTGGTGAGAAAAAGAAAATGGGACAATTCATGGGTGAAAGAAAAAAATCAGAATGGGTATCAGAAAATATTTAGAATCAAATCAAAATGGAAAATATTACTTGATCAAAATCTATAGGATGAAGTTAAAGCAGAACATAGAGGAAAATTTATAGCCTAAAGTGCTTAGATTAGGAAAGAGAAGCTGAATTTTAATGAGCTAAGAAAGAACTCAGCAAAAGCCAACTTTAAAGGCCGGGGCTGAACTGGGTGAGTGGAAGGAACAGTGGACTCAGGTTTGGAAGGTGACAAAGGGACGGAAATGTCTGAGATTTAAGCTTTGGTTGTAAAACTTTTACTCAGCTTCCTTCAGGCTCTGGAATTCTGTTATCTCTGATTTACTGGTCTTCTCTCAGTGGCTGCCTTTCTGATACAGTGTAAGGGACATTTGTGGCATTGTCCCCCCAGTCACCCTTTCAATTTCCTAGATAGAGGTGACTGTCACTGATTGCAGGCTGGGGACTGAAGCAAATACAGGTTAAAGACCCAAACCCATAGAAAGCTATAGCTACTGTCCACTGCAGGAGTACCTCTGGGTGCCAGGCACTGTACTCAACCCTTCCCTGTATTGTTTCATTGAAGCCACACTACATCCTTCCAACAATGTAGTATGGCCACACTGTTTGTGAACAGTGATTAGCATGCCCTTTTCACCCCTCTGGAAAGAGGCGAGCAAAGATTTGAATGCAGGCCTGCTTTTCTCCAAAGCATGTGAACTTCCCTCTGTTGTCAAATGCAAGAGCTTGCTCTGTTAACAGCTGTTAGGGAACGTAGGCTGGTAACACCAGCTGTGATACCAGCTGTCTGTGAAGCTCAGACAGCTGTTACCGCTGCTGCTAGAGCTGAGGTGTCAGACTATGCCCTGAGATGCCTTTGCCTGTTACAGTAGCTGCGTGTGTGTGTGTGTGTGTGTGTGTGTGTGTGTGTGTTTTCTAGTTGCTGTCCCTGAGCTTTTTCACTCAAAGTTTGAGCTACAACTCCACTTCTGGCTTTTTGGTGGTTAATTAGAGGTCAGAGTCTCAGGGACTTACCTGCCTGGACTGGTTTCCAATCTCTCTCTCCTTAGATATCAGCCTCCTGTGTAGCTAGGATTATTGGTTTGAGCTACTGCTGCCAAGCTTAACTTAAAAATGTGTGTGTGTGTGTGTGTGTGTGTGTGTGTGTGTGTACTGGGGCTTGAACTCAGGGCCTGGGCACTGTCCCTAAGCTGTTTTGCTCAAGGTTAACATTCTACCACTTGAGCCACTCCTCCAATTCTAGCTTTTTGCTGGTTAATTAGAGGTAAGAATCTCTTGGATTTGCCGTCCATAGTTGGATTTGTATTGCTGTCCTCAGATCTCAGCCTTCTGAGTAGCTGACAGGCATGAGCCACCAGTGCATGGCTTTAGATTGAACATTTTAAAGCTAGGAAATGTCTTAGGGCTATAGAGGATTCATTTCATTTGTGCAGTTCCCATTGCTTAGGTGCAGAAATCGAATGCTCATGCCTCTTCATGTTGCCACATTGACCTGTCTTGGGCTCATCTTCTTTGGTTTTCATAGCTTTTACGATCAGTTCCCAAACAAAGCATTGCTTTCTTTTGAAAAAAATAAAAAGGGCAGCAAGCCAAATGTACTTGTGTAAGAAAAGAGAAATATCCTTCCTTGGCTCACCGGTCAGGGAAGTTCAACAGGGCCTTGGGGATGTGGCCAACGATGTAGATAAATTTGGGGAAATTTAGAGGACCTGGCAGTGCTGGTGCAAGCCAGATGCTGGATGTCCAGAGGGAATGCTGTCAAAGGAAGTGGGCTGCTCTGTATGCTCTGCAGGAAGACAACTCAAAGCTATCCTAGCTCCCAGGGACAGATGAAGGGTAAGCTTTGTGTGGTGAAGTGCATGGGACAAATGAATGGTGTTAGTACAAGGTGAAACAAAGTCAAATATGAATAAGGATTAGGGCTAGGCTTACCTGGGCATTTTGGCACTAACTTGTCTCATTTTTCTCAGTCCAGACTCTTCCCCATCCTGGCTCTCTACTTGTAGCATCAGCCACCATCCAGATATTTGCCTTTGTAGTCTTCCTCTGTCCTGGCTCACTCCATTTCTTCTGATCATATTTCCACTACTTAGTTTTTACACTGAGTATGAGAATTGAAATTTCCTTCTTTTGCTCCTTCTCTCTGTCTTCCTCCCTCCCTTCCATACTCTCCCTCCTTCCTACCCTTCCTCCCTCTCTCTTCTTTCTTTCCTTCTTTCTTTCTTTTTCTTTCTTTCACCCTCTCTCCCTCCCCCTCCACACTTCCCTCCCCCTCTTCCTTCCTTCCTTCCTTCTTTCCTTCTTCCTTCCTTTTCCTTCCTTCTTTCCTTCTTGGTTCCATAAGCTCAGGGCCTAGATGCCATCTCCTTAGCATTTTCACTCAAGGCTGGTGCTCCACTTCTAGCTGTTTGCTCATTAATTGAAGATATGAATCTCATGAATTTTTCTGCCTGGGCTGGCTTTGAACCACGATTCTCAGATCAGCCTCAGTAGGATTCTGAGATCCTATTCAGCCTCCTGAGTTGCTAAGATTACAGGTGTGTACCACCAGTGCCCTGACCACAGTTGAAATTTCAGTTGAAATTTCAGAGCATGTTTAAAACTTGTGGAAAATTTTGAGTTGGGCACTATTTTCTTTCTGAATTTTGGTGTCATTCTTTGCTCAGCTGCTTCTCTACTACTTGAGCCATGACTACAAACTGGCTTTTTGCTGACTACAAACTGGCTTTTTGCTGGTTTTGTTTTGTTTTGTTTTGTTTTGTGGATGTAGTCTTGTAGACTTCTGCCTGGGCTGTCTTCCAATGGCAGCCCTCTGGATATTGGCTTCCTGAGTGGCTAGGATTATAGGCATGAGCTACTGGTACCCAGTGCAGTGACCCAATTTTGAATAGAATCATGAGAATTATTTCATCCAGAAGATAGATTTATGAAAAGACCTGAAGGAGAAGAGCTGTGGGCTTGTGAGGGGGCGGGCAGGGCAGGGCAGCTGCACAAAGGCGCAGAAGTAGGGAAGAACATGCTCAGTCTATGTAGGAACAGAAAGCTATGCTGAGTAGAGGGAGTGAGGGGAAGAGGAAGAGGAGTTGATGTCATAAATGTAATGGGGATTTTGTCAGTTTGGGGCCTTAAAGTTTACTACTGGGTTTGACCTTTGACTCTGAAGAATTGAGGACACACTGGGGCATTTATAACAGGGTGGTCTGACCTATTTGTGAAGGATTACGTTTGGGCTGTGGTGCTGCGAATAGACCATGGGGGCAGGGACCCCGCAGGGAGATGGGGAGGCAGCAGTTTTCCTGGTGCTGTGATGATGGCTGGAGGCAACGGAGCAGCAGAGCAGGTGGTTAGCCGTGGCAGAGCCCTGTCACTACATCAAGTACATGTGTACACTGGCCATACCATGTGTGGCTGTAGAGCCCTGGAGAGAACATCACATACACCAGCTGTTTCTTAACTCCCAAGAATGAATGTAACGTATCTTGCTCACTTTATATTGATTCCATATTGAATTGACAATATCTTTAGTTAAATAGAATATAGGATTAAGTCCATCGTGTGTGTGTGTGTGTGTGTGTGTGTGTGCGCGCGCGCGTGCGTGTGCGCGTGTGTGCGCGTGAGCACACTTGTGTGTATGTATGTGCAGTACTGGGGCTTGAACTTAGGGTTCTATAGTATGGCTTGGCTTTTTTTTGCTCAAGGCTGGTGCTCTTATCATTTGAATCACAGCTCTACTTTCAGATTTTTGCTGGTTGATTGGAGGGAAGAGCCTCACAGGTTGGTCTGCTCAAACTGTGATCTTCACATCTCAACCTCTTGAGAAGCTAGGATTGCAAGTGTGAGCCACCGGCTCATAGTTTGCAGTCTGTTTCAGATTGGACAGAGCAGTTCTGGTTGTACTTGGTATGTGAAGCCAGTGGGACTTGCTCTGTATTGCTTCAAGGATGACTCAAGAACTCTGGGCTGAGCTGCTGAAAAGATGGAGTGGCATTAGCTGGGATGAGGAAGGCTATAGTGTCAGCAGACTGGGGGTGGGGGTGGGGGAGGGGGAGACTTCTGAAACAAGTGTTTGAGTCCTGGAGTGAGGGGAGCAGTTCAGTTTTGAGATGAAGATGTGGTGTGAGCAGAGCAGAGACCTTGTTCAAGTATTCAGGCCCCTGAGTCTTGGGACATCTGCTTCTTTCCCATGTGATTTTCAGCTTCCAGAATCATTTCTACTGTCCTTGCAGGTTGCAGGTTTATATGCTCATTATTTCTCTCATTTTGTTCTCTCTCTCTCTCCCTCTTACTCCCTCTCTCTCTTTCTCTCCCTCCCTTCCTCCTCTCCTCTCCTCTCTCTCTCTCTCTCTCTCTCTCTCTCTCTCTCTGGTGTGTGTGTGTGTGTGTGTATACTGGGGTTTGAACTCAGGGCCTGGATACTGTCTTTTAGCCTTTTTGCTCAAGGCTGGCAATTGACCACTTGAGCCACAGTTCCATGTCTATCTTTTTGGTAGTTAATTGGAGATAAGAGTCTTGTAGACTTGCCTTCCAGGTCTGGCATTGAACCTTCATTAGCTCTCAGCCTCTAAACAGCTAGGATTATAAGTCACTAGCATCCAGCCTTCATCTTACTTTTTACTCACTCTTTGGTGGGTTTTGAGAGAGAATCAGGTTAGAAGTGTGCTCATTTCATTATCCAATACTATCAGCTGCTTTAAACTCAGGTGTTTGGTTGCTTGGTTTTCTGGCTTTTTATTGTGATGGAGAGAGATGTTAAGGTATTGCAGTACAGATTAAATGTCCTTTATACTAAATCCTTGGACCATAAGTGTTTCAGATTTTTTTCCTTCAAAGTTTAGAATATGTGCATATGTGTAATGAACAGCTTTTTTTTGGGGGGGGGTCCAGTCATGGGACCTGAACTCTGGGCCTGGGTGCTCTCCCTCAGCTCTTCAGCTCAAGGCTAGTGCTCTACCACTTGAGCCACAGCGCTTTTTTCTTTTTGCTTATGTGGTGCTGAGGAATCGAACCCAGGGCCTCATGCACGCAAGGCAAGCGCTCTACCACTGAGCAACCTTCCCAGCCCCTAATGAACATCTTATTACAAGTTTAAACAAAATTAATTTATGTTTCCTATACACCTTATGCAAACAGACTGAAGGTAATTTTATGCAAGATTTCAAATAATTCTGTATGTGAAACTTAAGTTTCACGGCTTTGAATTTTATGCTTTTGGACTCATGGTTTTGGATTTTGGAGCCTTTTGGATTTTGGCTTTTTAGGTTTAGGGAGGCTCTGCCTGTACTTGTGGGGAGCGCTCCCATACCACTCCACCAGCCTTTCTGAATTAACTGTGGCCTTTGCTTTTCCCATAGGCAAGAAGGCTACTAGATCTTGCTGCAGTGAAGGCAAATGGATTGGCTGCTTTCCTTCTGGAACATGTTCAGGAGTTGCCAATCCCACGGTCCCTGCCTTTTGAGGGTATGTAGGTGTTCCTCTCTGTTAATACAGAAGGAAAGGAAGTCCACACAGATTTGTAGTTAAAGAGCAAAGCACACACCAGCACAGAGTTCCATAGATGACTGCATAAACCTCCCTGAGACTCCATGTCCTCCTTATAAGGTTAACACAGCCACCTGGCTCATTAGGCTGCTGTGTGGACCATGAGGACGGAAGCATTCATGTCAGCTCTCCCTACCTGCATGGCTGCTGATCCCTGAATCCTCCACAGGAAGAACATTCACCGCCTGTGCTCCTTACTATTAGGTTCTCATCAACTGTATCTTAAAGATACAGATATACTGAGGAGTCAGGGTTGGAATCTCTTGATCTCTGAAGTTAAGCAACTCATGATCAGAAACTCAAGAACCAAGTGGACTGTGTGTCCCTGGTCACAGCCCATCTGAAGAGCTGATGAGGCTTGGTTAGCAGAACTGGGGCACACCAGGCATTCTATCCTGCTGGGTGCTTTACCACATTCTCTGCCCTGAGAAGTAGGGGTTGTTTCCACCTTATGGACATGGAAACTGGGCAGACAGTTTGAATGATGAAGTATGGGAAGATAGGTCTGACATCCCCCACCTATACTGTTTGTCTCTTGGAAGAAGAAATTGGCACTTGATAAAACTAGATGCACTTTTTTGAGTCTTGTTCCCACACCACTGAAGGGGACGTTCATAGGTGCTGGAGCCCCTTAACTATGGGCCTGATGTGTTGATGGACTTACCCTGGGTCCTGCCCTCTGGGCATCAAGCAAGCCTGGATGGCTGGAGCCCTGGGGAGTGGCGCTCAATGTGGGCCATCTTATCCAAGAACAGGATATAGGTATTGCTGCACAGTGCCCGACACAGACCTTGGTGAACATTTGCTGATGATATCATTAAGCATAGATATCGACAGAGGCATTGTAACACAATGCCATGGGCCAAGCCAAAATATACTTCTAACGGTGACAACATACGTTTTTCTTTAAAATGAATTTTTTTTAAGGATATTACTATTGGTAATGGCTGTAGACTTGTACTAGAAGTCAGGGTTTGAAAAGGAAAATCCGTGTCTTCGGATGATGGATATCCAGCAGGGGGAGGGGGAGCAATATCACCAGCTCTGGGAGCAAGAGAGGTGCCCCACCCTGGCTGTGGTGACACATGCCTGGAGCCCTAGCTGCTTGGGGATTGCTTGGCTAAGGAGGTCAATTTGACAACATAACAGGACTCTGTCCCATAAAAGAAAGAAAACACATGGCTGCAGAATACCTGTTTTGCATGGCTCTGCCAGTGCTACAGGGAGTGGAGAGCTCTCTGTGTGGGAAGTCCCTGGTGGCCTCCGAGTTGAAAACAAATGGACTCAACCACCATGCTGAAGTCCCAGTCTGGGACTCTGGGCCAACACTTCCCTGTTTTCTTGGAAGGAGAACTGAAACATGCATGAACTGGTTTCCATACACTAGTACTGGGGCTCTAACTCATGGCCTGGACTGTCCCTTAGCTTTTTCACTCAAGGCTGGTTAATTGGAGATAGAATCTTACTGACTTTCCTGTCCGGGCTGGCTTTGAACTGCAGTCCTCAGATCTCAGCCTCCTGAGTAGCTAGAATTATAGGCATGAGTCACTGGCACATGGCTTTGACTACTTCTTTTCCTCAAGCAATGGGAAGGAAATCAAGGCTTCGGAAGATTCTGTGTGTGTTCTCAAAGCCAACAGCTATATCAGGGCCAGGGCCAGATGGCCACAGGCTCCTCTCTGCCCAGCAGTAGCATGCCATTCCCTCAGGTAGCCCACCCCGATTGACCAGGTTCCATCTTGTCCTTTGTCTCCATTCATTCAGCTCTTCTGTCTTGCAGCTGCTGAGTGTCAGAAATACATATCCAAGCTGAGGACTACCGTGTCTGCTCAGTCTCGCTTTCTCAGTACTTATGATGGGGCAGAGAATCTTTGCCTGGAGGATGTGTACACAGAGAATATCCTGGAGATCAGAACAGAGGTGGGCATGACTGGACCATCACAGAAGAGCCCTGCCACCTTAGGCCTGGAGGAGCTCTTCAGCACCCATAGCTACCTTAATAAAGATGCAGACACGGTGCTTGTGGTGGGTGAGGCAGGCAGTGGCAAGAGCACTCTCCTGCAGCGGCTGCATCTGCTCTGGGCTACAGGGCAAGACTTCCAGGAATTTCTCTTTGTCTTCCCATTCAGCTGCCGGCAGCTGCAGTGCGTGGCCAAGCCACTATCCTTAAGAACACTACTCTTTGAACACTGCTGTTGGCCTGATGCTGGCCAACAGGATATCTTCCAGTTTCTGCTTGACCAACCTCACCGTGTCCTGTTGACCTTTGATGGTTTTGATGAGTTCAAGTTCAGATTCACAGACCAAGAGCGTCACTGCTCTCCACATGATCCCGCATCAGTTCAGATTCTGCTTTTCAACCTTCTGCAGGGCAATCTGCTGAAGAATGCCCGCAAGGTCCTAACCAGCCGTCCAGATGCAGTGTCAGCCCTGCTCAGGAAGTTTGTGCGCACCGAGTACCAAATTAGGGGCTTCTCAGAAGAAGCCATCAGGCTGTACCTAAGGAAACATCACCGTGAGCCTGGCGTGGCAGACCACCTCATCCAGCTGCTACAGTCTACCTCAGCCCTGCATGGCCTGTGCCACCTCCCTGTCTTCTCCTGGATGGTGTCCAAGTGCCACCAGGAACTGCTGTTGCATAAAGGGGGGTCCCCGAGGACCACCACCGACATGTACCTTTTGATCCTGCAACATTTCCTGCTGCATGCCTCCCTGCCAGACTCCGCCTCCCATGGCCTGGGCCCAGGCCTCCTCCAGGGCCGGCTCCCCACCATGACGCACCTGGGCCGCCTGGCTCTCTGGGGTCTAGCCACGTGCCGCTATGTGTTCTCAGCCCAGCAGCTCCAGGCAGCACAGGTAGATTCTGAAGACATTTCCCTTGGCTTCCTGGTGCGTGCCCAAAGTGTGCCAGGGAGTGCAGCACCCCTGGAATTCCTGCACATTACTTTCCAGTGTTTCTTTGCAGCCTTCTACTTGGTGCTTAGTGCTGACACACCAGCAGCTTCATTTAAACATCTCTTCAGTTGCCACCAGACAGGCAGCTTACCACCGGCTAGGGTGCGGCTCAGGCTGTGTGTCCAGAGCTCCAGGAACAAGGAAGACGGCGAGTTGGCTCTGCTGAAGAAGGCCGAGCCTCACAACCTGCACATCACAGCAGCCTTCCTTGCAGGCCTGTTGTCCCAGGAGCACCGGGCCCTATTGGCCCAGTGTCAGGCATCTGAGAAGGCCCTGCTCCGGTGCCATGCCTGTGCCCGCCAGTGTCTGGCTCGAAGCCTCCGCAAGCATTTCCATTCCATCCCGCCAGCAGTGCCTGGTGAGGCCAAGAGCATGCATGCCATGCCTGGGTTTGTCTGGCTCATCAGGAGCCTATATGAGATGCAGGAGGAGCGGCTGGCACGGGAGGCTGTGCGTGGGCTGGACATCGGGCATCTCAAGTTGACATTTTGCAGTGTGGGTCCAGCTGAGTGCGCTGCCCTGGCCTTTGTGCTACGGCACCTCCGGCGGCCCATAGCCCTGCAGCTGGACCATAATGCTGTGGGAGACATTGGTGTGGAACAGCTGCTGCCCTGTCTCAGTGTCTGCAAAGCTCTCTAGTGAGTGTTCTGGGTATTGTTGCCCAGGCTTATGGGAAAGGCCACGATCAAAGCCAGTTGAGATCAGAAGTCTGGAAACTCCAGCTCTGCCAACCACTGCCCTCCTATTCTTAGTTTCCATATAAGATAGTGATAGCCAGTGTAGCGTTCTTTGAATGTCCTGTGTGCTAGACTCTGTACTATACTTTCCAGAATGAACATATCTCTGGGCTGTCAGCAGAGATGTTATTAGTCCTATCATCCTTGAGTTGAGGCTCAGAGAAATGAAATAACTTGTCCTGAGTCACACAGGAAATGGCAAATGTGGGTCGTTTATTTTTAAATTTACTTTTAGTTTTTGCAAGTCCTGGGGATTGAACCCAGGTCCTGGACACCTTTCCAAAGCTTCTTTTGAGCAAGGCTAGCACTCTACCAGTTGAGCCACTTTCAGCTTTTTCTGAGCAATTGATTGGAGATAAGAGTCTCATGGACTTTTCTGCCCAGGCTGGCTTTAAACTCTGAAACTCATATCTCAGCCTCCTGAGTAGCTACGATTACAGGCGTGAGCCACCAGTGCCTGGCTCAAGTGTGGGTTTAAAAACTCTCTTTCTGATTCTAAAGGCCTGGTCCTGGCAGGGAACCTGTCTATGGATGCACTTCAACAGCTCTAGAAAAATCTTGAGGTCTCAGAGATCTTGAGAGTCATCAGAGATGACTTATGCCCCATCAGTCTTTAAAATCCCAACCAGAGCTGGTGCCAATTGCTCATGCCTGTAATCCCAGCTACTCAGGAGGCTGAGATCTAAGGATCATGGATCAAAGTCAGCCCAGGCAGAAAAGTCCCCATGAGACTTATATCTCCAGTTGACCACTCAAGAACTGAAGCTGAAGCTGTGGCTCAAGTGGTAGAGTGCTAGTTTTGAGCAAACATGTTTAGGGACAGCACACAGCTCCTGAGTTCAAGCCTCATGACCAACTCCCTCCTCCCCTAGAACTTAAGAGATAGAAAGTATTTGGGGAATCTCTCCCTTTTACCATTACCCATGCTTTCTGCCCCTAGGATGGAAATGTGCGGGTTTGCTCTTTGAATTACCTGGGTCTTTGAACATGTGGGCATTTTCCCACACCTTGAAGCAAGTGAGGACAGAGGATGTTTGTTGACCAGCATCAGCCCCCCAACTTCCTTTCCACACTTTGGGAGGGGATGTCCTGCTGCCTATCTAGACCTGTTAGAAAGGGGAAGTTATAGATGACAGTTAAAAATCTATTCATAGCTGCCAGATGCTGGGGGCTCACGCCTATAATCCTTGCTACTCAGGAAGCTGAGATTTGAGAATCATGATTCAAAGTCAGCCCAGGCAAGAATGCCTGTGACACTCTAATCTCCACGTAACCACCAAAAAGCTGGAAATGGAGCTCTGGCTCAAATGGTTAAAGCACTAGCCTGAGTTCAAGCCCTAGGACTGTCAGGTGCATGTGCGCGCGCGCGTGCACGCACACGCACACACACACACACACACACACCCCTATTCACAGCCTCTTGAGGCTTTCCAGATAACCTTGATTGGCCTTGAGCAAAGGAAAGGCTTGAATGTATTAAATGGTAGATCTTCTCTGTGACCAAGCAGCATGAAACAGGCACATGGAGATCTACCTGAAATGGTGCAGTGGCCTTGGTAACACTAACATTGATGTCATAAGTTGATGACATAATATGGTGTTAAATATGCATAGTTCCTATATGCGGTTAGTATATAATAGAAATGTGAATGTCTTCACTGGGGTCTTAAAGGAAATAGATGACACTTAAACTGGGGAGAGTCCATGAAAGGGACTGACCGCCTACAGAGATGAGGCCACGAGTTAGGAAGGACACAGAGGAAGGGCCCTGGGCCCTGGCATTCCTGCCAGGTAGAAGTAGCCTGAGGAGTAGGGGGATGGGGAGCACCGACTAGCTGAGTGGAAGCCTGGAGAGCACTACCTTGGGCCTGAGATCGTGGCATCTAGAGGAAGAAAGCCTGGTTCTCTCTCCCTTCAGGCTCTGGGCACCTGACAGATCCTGAAGTTCACTGAACTAGGTGGGGAGGGAGCAGGCTGCTTGCTATTGTTTTGGAAGGGAAACAGGCAGCAGCTTCTTAGGATCAAAGTCCAGGAGAGAGAGCAAGCATGGAGAGAGGGGGAGTGTGGAGAGAGTGTGGGGAGGGGGGGAAGTATAGATCTGGACAGGCAAATGGAAAATGGAGGTCAGCTTACTGGTTCATTCTCTTGGGAAGTAAGTTTTTACTTTGCTTGGGTCTGTGTAGAAGCTATTTGGATGGAAATTGAATGTGTATTTTCTTTGCATTGGGCCCTTAGTCTGTGGGTGTCGGGGGTAGGGGTGAGGGTGTGGTGTGCACACACGTGTACATGCCAGTATGGGGCCTTGAACTTGGGGCTTTATGTTCTCACTAGGTTTTCTTGTTTGAGGCTGGCACATTACTACTGAAGCTACATGTCCGGTCCAGCTTTTTTTTTTAAAAAAAAAACAAAACTGGTTAATTGGAAATAAAGTGCTTTTGTGCCAGTGGACTTTCCTGCCCCAGCTAACTTTGAACAGCAATCCTCAGATCTCAGCTTTCTGTGTAGCTAAGATCAGACCAGTTCTCAAAGGAATCCTTGAGTCCCAAGAGGTCAGCCACCCCTGCATTCTTGCCTGGATCCCCTCTCCTCAATTATGAATGTTCTTGTCATTCCATGGTATGCAAAAGAGCTGCAGGAAGCTGGCTTTCTCTTCTATTCAGAGAGAGAGGGGAAGTCAGCCTGTTTCTAGCCTGGAACTTTGACTGCAATATACAACCATTCTGGGGACTTCTCTCAGGAATTCCTGTTCAGTAGATTTAGTGGGCCAGGCTGACAGTGTTGCTGTTGATTCTAGTTTAGGTGTTGATTCTAGTTCTCACTGTGAGAACAAGTATTCCAAAGGAATCGGCTTGGTTTTTCCATTCACATTTCTATGATTTGTATAGCATCCCATGAAGGTCCATGAGATAAAGACTTGATCGCCAGGGTGGCATCATTAGGAGTAGGACCTGTGGTAAGTCTTTAGGTTATTGGAAGCATGCCCTTGAAAGGAGGCCTCTTCCTTCTCATCTTGGCCTTAGGATGCAGGCTGTTTCTTCAGACACTTCCACTGTGATATGTGCCTTACCATACGTCCCAAAGCAATTGGATCTATGGACCATGGACTGGAATCTCCAAAATGAACCTTTCTTTTTACAAATTAATTGTCTTAGGTATTTTGTTACAAAAGCTGACTGACACAACAGTTTGTCCTTGACTGAGTTCTCCTGCTCTTTATTTTGTGCACAACCATGAGGTTGCTGTGGGCATTTTGTGTGTGTGTGTGTGTGTGTGTGTGTGTGTGTGTGATATAAATGAAACAGGCAGCACACAGACACATGCACAAACACATGTACACACACAAACACATACACATAAAGATTGAAAGAGGGAGGAGGGAGGAGGGTGGGCTCCTCCCCCACAGTGCCAGGCTACATTGCTCCCACTCCACGTTTCCATGCCAACCAAAATCCTCAACCTCTATAAAACTACAAATGCAAAGTGCCCCTATGCAGGTTTCTTTAGACCTGGCTCTCTGCCTTTAGGGTGATAGGTTTCAAAGTTTCCACTGTCACTTACAGTGAGAGAGAGCAAGAGACAGCAAGTCAGAGGACCAGACACATGGTGTGTGGGATTGAAACAAAGCTTAGTGAATGATTTCCCTAATTAACTTGGATATGCTCTACTCTCTTCTTCTGTCTTCTATTTCAGTTTTTAAAATACTGCTCAGGACTTTCAAAATTGGTTTTATGACCCATGAACAAGTCATACAACCTGCAATCTGCAAACCATGGATCATGAGGGCCCCCGAAAGGTGATACGGTGACTGCATGGTGCTCTGGTTAAGGCTGAGATTCGCAGCCATACTACCTGGGCTCAACCCTGTTGGTGCTGAGGCACTTCAGCCAAGTTACTTTACCTGTTTCAGTCTCAGTTTCTTCACATTATAGAAGCACCTCCTACATGGGCTATGGTGAGGATTACATAATATTACTGTTGAGAAGTATCTAGGGAAGTGCCTAGGTCAGGAATATAAAATGCACTATGCCTGTGAGTGTCCATGAATACTCTGACCATGTGCTAGATGCTCTGGGAGCACATATGCACAGCCCAGTGCAGGTGGCAATGCCATCATTCCTTCTTGTGGATAGAGGGACCAGCACATAGTAAATGGCCTGCCAATGGTCAGCTGATGGCTGACCACTTATAGCCTCCCAAGCGCCTGAAGATAAAGAGTCATGTGCATGCAGTTAAACAGATTCCTGAGTCTGGATTAGGTCTACAGGTATGGAATCACCAGTATTGGGATGGAGCCTGGCAAATATCTATCTATCTATCTATCTATCTATCTATATCTATATATGAAAAACTTTTAGTTGACCAGGTGAGATTTGGAAATGGTGCCCCCTGGAAGCTTGTTGGAAGGGGTTGCTCTGCAGGATGTAGCCTGCAGCAGTGAAAGCCAGTAGGGCCCAGCTAACCACAACTACATGTATGCTCCCAAAGTTTTGGTCACTCTCATCTAACTGGTCTACCATCTACTACTTGCTAGAAAATGGTGATGGCAGGTATCCCAGTGGTGGCCTACCTGGTTCCAGATGCATCTCCCCCATGGGCCATATCTTTGGATCCTTTGTGAGACTGTTGTGATGATCATTGCCTTTAGCACAGATGGGAACAGGGCCTGAAATGTGATCCAGTGTTCTTCAAAGTTCTAGGTCCCCCACTCTTCGGACTGTCCTCTACATGATCAGCTTCCTAGCCCAGAGATACTGACCGTCTCCTTCCTTTCTGGGGGTATCCTGACCTTGTGGTCATTTCCAGAAGCAGAGAGGCTAGCACTTTATTTTTAATCAAATTTCTGCTGTCTTGTTTATTTATTTATTTGGTTGTTTATGTTTTTAGTTTACGAGATAACAATATCTCAGACCGAGGCATCTGCCAGCTCATTGAACATGCTCTTCACTGTGAACAGCTACAGAAGTTAGCGTAAGTAGGCCTGAGCTGTGGACACTGGGTCCGGTGTCCTCAAGTCTAATTTTTTTTTTTGCTGTGTTGCTGGGCCAAATGAGTGGGTAATGAGCTGGGCTACAGTATTGCCTGGCTAGAGGGGGTAGGGTGGCTCCTGGGAGGACAGAATGGAAGAGAGAATCGACACTCATGGGTATCTGTCCTCCCTGGCCACATGCCTTGTCACCATATCCTCTCTCTTCTGAAATTTAACAGTTTGTTCAACAACAAGTTGACTGATGGCTGTGCGGGTTCCCTGGCCAGGCTCCTTGCATCCAAACAGAACTTCTTGGCATTGAGGTGAGCTCTGGGTTTCCCCAATCCTCACAGAGGAATCAGTGTCATCTGGTCTCCACTGAGGTCTGCCTTGCTTGGCTTGTGATCCCTGACTACATGAGCATCAAGATTTCTTGCCTGCTAGAACTTTAGCTCTAAGGCAAAAAAGGAGTTTCCAGGCCTTTCCTGTGGCTATGAGTGTCAGGCTGTCTGGGTTACTGATGAACACTGACTATGTCCTGCTGTGGGAGGCCTAGTAGTCATTTACCACCACAGCTGTGGCATTCAATTGCTGGGATGCTCTCCCAAGCTCCTTTTACCACGTGGAATAGACAAGGTTTGCACTTCTATTCCAGAAGTCTGCTGTTCTGCTCCAGAACCTGCTGGTCTTACTAGAGTCTATCCTACCAGATGCCCTTAAATGCCTCTCAGCTAGTCCCTCTGAGACCTCCTCTCCCCACTTCTCCCCTTCCCTCCCTTCCCCTCACTTCTCTTCATCTTCCTTCCTTTGATCTCTTCCTCCTCCTCCTCCTCCTCCTCCTCCTCCTTCTCCTCCTCCTCCTCCTTCTTCTTCTACTTCCTATTCTTCTTTCAATTCCTTTCCCATCTCCCCTCCATTTCCCCCTGTCTCTCACAGAGATTTGTAATGCAGTAACTGAATCACTTCTATTTGTTCTTCTCAGATGCTGGACTGGGTTTGGGGAGCTGTCATGTTTAATTTGGCCACATAGCTCAGGCTCATCCAAGGTTGCAGAGTCCCAGGCCAAGGTTCCATTATGTACAAAAGAGTCTGTTCTTTTACTATCACTTGCTCCCTGAGACTCACCTGGCCTGTCCAACCAGGGAGAGCTGTGGGGATCATAAGGGTGGTGGATTCAGAATTGGAAGCCTCAGTTTGTGGCCAGTACCTGGTCAGACTTGGGAACCAGGGGTTTGGGAGCGAGGCTGCCCACGGTGAGGGTTTGGAGTCTAGAAACGCCTGTGATTTGAATCCTCATGAGCTTTCTCGGACGGACCTTGACCAGCCGAGTGTTTCTGCCTTTGAGGATCATAATGACAGCCATCTTATAGGTTGTTGTGGAGATGAATTTGATGAATTGAGTTAGCATGCATGAGGAGCTGGTGCAGTCCAGGCTGTTCTTTATATAGTCGGCTCAGGGACTGAAGGATCGTGGGTAAATTATGTAAGCTCACAGCTTGTTGTCCCTGTTTTAGTCCACAAAGGATTAGATGTGCAACAAATGTATTGGGGGAAATGCTTGTGAGGGGAAACAAGGGAAGGGAGCTGGAGGAACTAGGGTGTTAGGCCCCGAGTGAAGGAGAAAAGCAGGGAAGGAAGGAGAGTGGAGAGGAAGCACTCTAGGCTTTGATGCAGCTTGAGAAGTTGCAAGGCCATTGGGGCACCCTCAAGCCCACTTTGCCTAGTCAGACCCCCATGAGTCTTGGGTGAGGTCCTCTGCTGCTGGGGCAGTCTGCAGGAAGCAAGTCTTGCTGCAAGACCTTGATGTTAATTTCCAGAACCTAGCATGCCATGCTTGTGGTCACCTCAGGGAAATGTGGTTGGAAGTGTTTCAGGTGCATTCCCACAGTGTCACATGCCTTCTCGTGTGAACCAGAGAGGCTTAAAGCCCTTCACAGGCACTGGTGACTCACACCTGTAATCCTAGCCACTCAGGAGGCTGAGATCTGAGGTTCTCTATTTGAAGCCAGCCCTGGCAGGAAAGTCCATGTGACTCTTATCTCCAATTAACTAGCAAAAAAAAAGCTAGAAGTGGAGTTGTAGCTCAAGTGATAGAGCACCAGCCTTGAGGGACAAAGCTAAGGGAGAGCATCCAGGCCCTGACTTTCACAAACAACACTTCTCTGAACTCACAGAGGTGGCTGGATTTGGCTGTCCCTAGAGCCTTCCTTCCCTTGCTTCCTTCCCTCCTCCCCCCTGCTCCCAGCAGAGGCAAAATGTTCCTTGTGGTGACAGTGGATCTGGGAAGTTCATGCAGTGCATTCTGGGGTGTAGACTGAGGATGGCTGAGGGTAAGGGGAAAGAGGTTAAGAGGAAATCTTAAGTCATCTGGGTTCCTTGCAGACACCAAGCTCCCACTATAGCTCCCTACTGTGGCTCTTGTCCAGACTGGTATGCTTTGTAAAACAAGCCGTCCACACTTAGCCTTCACTGGTGGACCACGAGGTTGAAGTGGTGGGAGCTGTCTGTAAGCTCAAAGGTACACAGTGGCCTCACTGTGGGAGAGGGCTCTGGACCCAAGGCCCTGTCCCACTCATACCCTGCCTGTGGCTGTGCTCTCTCACCCTGCTTTATCCTCCTTCCAGGCTTGGCAATAACTACATCACAGCTACAGGAGCCCAGGTGCTGGCCCAGGGCCTCAAGGACAACACCTCTCTGCAGTTCCTCGGGTAGGCTGGGACTCAGGGCAAAGGGGCCTGCAGGGAGGCAGTTTGAAGGAGGATCAGGTGGGCAGAGAATGAGTGAATCTTGGCTGCCTCCATGCTGGTGTCTTCACTTGATAAACCGGAAGTTCAACATGGCAGGGTAGGGTGGTGAGGGCCTTGCCCTGGGGGTCTGAAGACCTCTAGTGCTTGAGGCTGCTGAGAACCAGGCTGTGGCTTAGAACTACTCTGCATTTCTGAAGAACCCCACCAGACTGCAGTCAGCTGTACTCAAGCCAGAATCCCTGGCCAAAGGAAGGATGAGGAGGGGAAGGATGAGGAAGAGGATGAGAAAGGATCTGGAATGGGAGGGGCTGTTCTAGATTCTTCAGAGCTACTGCCCACTACTAGGGAAATGAGAGAATCCAAACCAGTCAAAAGGAAGGACCCACATCCAGCAGGACTGCAAAGGGGAAACTCTCTGTCTATACCCTAAGTTTTCACCCATTTCACCCCCAGCAGTCCCTTCCCTGTCCTGTGCAAGCCACTCTCATTTGACAAGAAGTGGGGCTTTCAGAATCCCAGGACTGTAGAGAGAAAACCCTAAGGCCCAGGTAGTTAACTCACTTCCATGGCAGGGAGGTTGCCTAAAAGCTCAGTGTAAACCAGGAATAGGACTGTCTTGTGGCAGAGCTTTTCACTGTCTTCAGTCTATATGCAAGAGCCACCACTGTGCCCTCATTTTGTGAGGAAGAGCTGCATAGTATTCCACCACTTGGATGCCCTTAATTATTTAATGTCACCTAGGGATGCCTGCTTAGGTTGTTCCCAGTTTGTTTCTGCAGTTACAGCGCCCCATCCACAGAGCATAGAGCGATGTTTACACATAGCCTGAGGAGTCAAAGAAGTGCAGCAAGCAAGCCATGCGCTGTCTCACTTATAAGCAGCTGGATTGGAAGCTATGTGCTGGCTCCACCTTTACAAAAGGGATCTTTCCAACTGACAGTGGGTCAGAGAGGAGGACCCAGAATGTGGAGGAGCTGGGCACTATGAAGAACTGGATATTTTAAGAATCAGTAAAAGATAGGGAGTTATCTTGTGAGAGAAGAGTTAGACTTGTTCTGGGTGATCCCTAGGTAATTACAAACTTAGAGCTACCAGGAAGAAAATCTGGTATATGTCAGGAAAGAAAAAGTCACAGTCATGTGAATTGCTATTGAGAATTTCCAGCCCTTGAGGGTATGAGGTAAATGGGACCCCATTAGTAAGTCTGTGGTTTAAAGCTACTAAAAAGTCTGAGTGAAGTCTGGCTATCCCACATCAAAGACAGTAACAGGACCACTTTGCTGGGACCCCTGTGCCCCTATCAGACTTAACCAAAATGGATTGTCCAGTCCTTGGCACTGGGGCTGCAGAGAACAGCATGTAGAACACGCAGTAGGTGCTCATATATACTCTTTGTGGCCTCTGCTGGCCCTTTCAGGTTCTGGGGCAACAGTGTGAGTGACAAAGGTGCCCAAGCCCTGGCTGAAGCCTTAACGGGTCACCGGAGTCTGACGTGGCTTAGGTAAGTTGCAGGTTTGTACTGAATTGTTACAGGAAGAACCAGGAGAGGAGGGAGGGGGGAGGGATGTGGCAGTATTTTGAGGGTTGTTGGACTTCATTTCCAATATGCCTCCTGGTGTATTATGCAGTAGGGTGAGAAAGACCATTGGGTTTAGAGTCAGGAAACTTGAGAATGTCTGAGTGACTTTAAGAGTGACTCCTCCCTCATTAGAGTCTTGATTCCTTGCCTGCAACTTGAGGATCTTGAGCTTTATCAGTCACATTTTGCCTTAAGCATTAATTCCAAAGACTGCTCCTGGTCTTAAAAAGCACTGAAATCTATTAGTAATGTCTGAATGAAGCACACTGGGAGGGTGGTGGTGAGTGTGCCATTTATTTTGCCTATCATAGGTAAGTTTATCTCCACCTTCGAGGTCTCCCCTGCTCTAACATGTTTTGTTTTTTTGTTGTTCCATGATTATGTCCAGCCTGGTGGGGAACAACATTGGCAGTGTGGGTGCCCAAGCCTTAGCACTCATGTTGGAGAAGAACATAGCATTAGAAGAGCTCTGGTAAGTTTGTGAGATTCCCCTGCTCCGGGGGGAGGCAGGAAACATCTGATACTGGGGTTAGAACTCAGGGCCTTCTGCCCTTGCAGTGGTCTTTCCAGCTCAAGGCTGGCTCTCTACCACTTGAACCATACCTCCACTTCCGGCTTTTTGCTGGTTAATTGGAGATAAGTGTCTCACTCACAGATTTGTCTGCCTGGACTGACTCAGAACTGTGATCATCAGCTTTCAGCTTCCTGAATAGATAGGATCACTGGAGTGATGTTAATTACCTGTCTTTGACTTCGACCTCATCAATGGGAGCAGCTATGTAGATAAGAGAAAGGTGGAAGGCTGAGTAATTGATTTTGTCTTTTTTTGTCCTTTGTCATATGAAGCTTATAGAGCCTAGGGTTAATGTATTATATTTATTGTTTTGTTGGTTTGTTTACTGCCTGCATATGATATAATGGTGGAGATCACAAGCTTTGGATTTACACAAGCTGTGATCTTTGGCAAGCTAAAAACAATTTTTGAATTTCAAGTTTCTTACCTGTAAAATAAGACTGTTTCTAACTATAAAAAGACATTTGTGAGAGTTAGGTAAGGTAGTGCTTGTGAAGGACTTAATATAGCTTGGCATATGTGTCAGTTCTTAAGTATTACATTGTAACTGTGGCAAGCTTACTGCTACAGTTGCTGGTGCTATGACAACAATTTCTACTAGTCCTCTGACTACTACTATTAAGGACATTTTGATTTTTCAAAGTGCGTTTGAGTACCTAAGACCCCTGAGTATTTAAACCAAAGTCACTTTGAAAAATAAATGGAATATGGGGGCACTGATAGATGACCCCTGATTTGTGCTTCTACTGTTGACCTGAAGCAGATCCCAAACTTATCCTCTTTTAGATGCTGCTTGTAGAGTCTTCCATTCCAGGGACATCTTTCAGATTCTAGATATATCAGGGAGCGAAGGTGCAGACTGCTTGATATTTCTAGGAAGCAGAGAAACACTATCTGCTACAAAGCAGATACTACAGATGGGTGCTGGCTATTGGCAGGGGTCTTTGGTGCTGAATTGTCATTGATTATATCCTGACTGGATCATTTCTTGATAGAGAAGCACCTCACCATGAGTGTGTCACTTATGGTTACTGTTAAAATAAAAACTTCAGACAAATTAAAATTAGCAGCGTTTATTTGAGCTAAGAAGTTTCATGAACGGGCAGCACTCAGAGCCAGGTTAGGTTCAGAGAGCCCCACATAGCAATGTAGGCAGGTGGTATTGACAGACAGAAAAAGGACTTGATATTCAGAAACAGTCTGATTGGTTACAGCTCCTCATTGGCCTTATTTGGACATGATGTGAAGAGTTGGCAACCTATGACTGGCTGAGACTTAGCTATTTTTTACCAAAATATAATCTTAGTTAGGTCACAGTTTGTTTAGATATTAAATTAGGTTGTAGTTTGCTGCATAGGAGCACGTGAAAGCAGCTTCTAGCCAATTTAGTCTAATTTAACATTGCATTAGGCTTCAGCAGTGTGGAGCTGTTATGATGTCTACAAAAGACTACCAAGTCCCTCAGTTCTCCTCATAGCAGATTGCCTCATTATCACAAGATGGCTGCTTCTCTTAACTACTACTTCTGTATTCTGGGATCTACTTTGTATATCTGAAAAGGGCTAAAGGTATAGGTCAGCAGGGTCCTGTCCTTTAAAAAGCATTTCTGTAAGCAGCAGCTGTCAAATTTCCATATGTCAATTTCACTTGGCTAACCCTGGCTGCAGTGGAGGGGGAAATGTAGGTGGTTTTCTTTGTTTTGTTTTGTTTGCCATCCAGCACATGGCTGTCTGAAAAGAAATGAGCTTTCCATTAATATGAAAAACAAAAACAAGGGAATTGGCTAACTGGGGATGATGGGTATTTTACGTAGTAGCACTTTGGAGTGAATTCCTTGCACAGATGTCCTGGAATTGAGAATGATAATATATCTGTAAGCTTGGATTTTCAAAATGGGGGGTTGGGAATGGAGAACACAGGAAAACCATTACTGACATCTTCCACTGTAAGTGTTATCAGATCCGCCTGATTTTCTTTCTGTTCTTGTCAGTCTGGAGGAGAACCATATTGGGGATGAAGGAGTGTGTTGGCTCGCCGAAGGACTGAAGAGAAATTCGAGTTTGAGAGTCCTGAAGTAAGGACCCTGTAAGCAGGAGCCAGGTCTTGGGAGCCGGGTTCTGAAGCAGAGTTCAGGGCAGCTTCTCAGCCCAGATAAAGATGAAAGCAACATGTGTTGGTCTTGGAGGGGAGGAACGCATTACACGAGGCAGTCAGTGTGAGAGGTGGCTCCAGGAAGTGTGGGGCCACTATAGTAGGACACAGTCAGGAAAGGAAGGTCACCAGTGAGGCGATACTGAGTCAGTGAGCCCTGAAGGAGGCTGGAGTTCCACGTGGATCCAACTTCACACGTACCTAGTTACTACCCAAACAATAGACCTGGATCTCCAAGTGCCCAACCTCTGCGGTGCAGGGAACTCTGTGGGGGAAAATTCTCCTGCAGACCTGATGGTTACTGGGTAAGTTTCAGCTCACATCCACCATTCTCTAGCTATTGTCATAAAGGACTCCAGACAAAGTGTGGGAAGTCTGCCAGCATGCAACTCTTGAGTTGGAAGAGTAAGCTGAAAGAACAGGGATAGGCAGGTTGCCAACTGCACCCCACTGTGTGGCTGGCAGGGTGTCTCTCTTTGTTCCAGGCCACCACTGCTCAGGAAGGAGGCTCCTGGCTGATCTGCATCTGGACTGCAGATGTGGTCACTTGCCTGTATTTATAAGTGTACCCTTTGTTGACATTCATGCATTCATTTACAAACCACTAATGTATCTCTGTAAGAAATGTCTCTTGGGGCTGGGAAGGTGGCTCAGTGGTAGAGCACTTGCCTTGCATGCATGAGGTCCTGGGTTTGATTCCTCAGCACAACATAAGCAAAAAAAGAAAAAAAGCCGGAAGTGGCGCTGTGGCTCAAGTGGTAGAGTGCTAGCCTTGAGCTGAAGAGCTGAGGGACAGTACCCAGGCCCAGAGTTCAGGCCCCATGACCAGATCCCCCCCCAAAAAAAAAGAAATGTCTCTTGTTGGGCACTGGTAGGTCACACCTGTAATCTTAGCTACTCAGGAGGCTGAGATCTGAAGGTTGTGGTTCAAAGCCAGTCTGGGCAGGAAAGCCCATGAGACTCTAATCTTCAAATATCCACCAAAAAGCTGAAAGTGGAGGTGGAGGTCAATAGGATCATAGTTTGAGACCAGCTTAGGTTAACAGTGAGACCTCGCCTCCATCTTAACAAACTAAGCCAGGTATGGTGGTGAGCACCTGTGATCCCAGCTCTGAACAAAGCAAGTAGGAGGATTATGGCTCAGGCTAGCCCAGAGAAAGTCATGAGATCCTAGCTGAAAAAATCATAGAATGCCAAGAACCGGGAGCATAACTTCAATAGTAGAGTACCTGCCTAGCAAGTACAGGGCCCTGAGCTCAAACCTTACTACTGCCCCCACCAAAATCAATCAATCAGTCGTGACAGCTCTATATCATAGGAAGGTCATTCTTATTCTGAAAGCCAAAGCCTGGAGAATGGCCCAGTAGAAACAGAAAGTAAGTGGGAGACCCAGGTGAGAGAGGAGGGCAGCTTGGAGTAGGCTGATGGCAGCAGGGAGGTTAAAGGGCAGAGATCATGGCCCTGTGGATGTAGGAGTTGAGGGCTGAAAGCAGCCTGGGCCAGAGGATGATGGAGGCCATGCTGTGGCTTCCTCTGGTAGACTCAATGTCAGGGGCCTGTGCCACAGGGACAGGGATGATAGATGCGAGACTGCCGGACTTATGTCTGTACACCCAGAGACTGAGGCAAAGGTCTCTCTTCTCGGGGACTGGGGACACCATCAGCAGTGACTTCTTTGGCTAGAGGAAGGTGGCATCTGCCCTGACAAATATAGCCCAAAGAATATACTTGTCTTCAGAGACAGGCGGACAGCTGCCTCTGGCCTTGCTGCCAGATTGTCATCCGCTCTGGCAATGTGTGTTTGTGGTGCTTTGCAGGCTAGGGAGTTGCCAATGTTTGGAGAAAACACTTCCACAGGGCCTCACTTGAGTGCAAGCAGGCTGGGGAGCCTCGCTTTGTCCAAGCTAGATGTTCGCTTTGCTTCCTGGGGGCCTTTGGCCATGGTTGGGCCTTGATTTCCAGGTTTAGATATAGCAAATTTGTCCTTCCTTACTGTGACAGCTACCCCACCTCCATTCAATCCCAACTGAGGAGGCCAGGCACTCAACTGACAAAGGGGAGGGGTGTACCACCCTATCTTGCTATCAGCCACCTATTCAGCATCTGGACTTCATTCTCCTTCACTGTTTCCCCATAAAACTTCAGCTGCATACATGTATGTACAGAGAGAGAGAGAGAGAGAGAGAGAGAGCCTGTCTCATTTTCCCAGCATCATCTCTGCCAAGTGTTGTGAGCATCTGGGATTGTGGCCAGATGATCTGCACCCGGGTTCCCCCACTGCCAGCTGTCTTTCCTTGCTCAAGCACCTTAGTTGCTGAGTGTAAATAGGGGTACTAATTACCCCTCTTCATGGAGCTGTGAACATTCACTGGCAGAATATAGGCCAAGAGTTGGCACAGAAGGAAACTTTAGTACACGCTGGTGGTTGACATAGCTGTAAGACCTTTCTGGCATGGGAGGGGAGGGAGGGCAGGCACCAGAAGCTACCAGAAGGCAAAGCTGTAAGCAAAAGGCAGCATGGGAAATACTGGGCTCTTCTGCCCTCACTGATCATGGCTCATCTTTTCCCTCCTGTCCCAGACTCCTGTTGTCTCTAGCCTGTGTCCCTGTGCACCCCAAAGGCCCCCCAACAAAAACAATCTATCCATTGATTATCTCCTGTTCATTAGATACTGTGCTGACTTAGGCAGTTTTTTGTTCAATGTTCAGTACTCCATAAGGTATATATTTCTTAGAACCATTTTACAGGTGGGAAAATTTGAGATAACAAAAGGAAGAGGAAGAGGTTGGATTTGATCTCTGGGATTCTGGAGCTAAACTTCAGCTATCTTACCACGACACTATAGTTTTATCCTTAAGGGAGGGGCTGCCTAATTCAGTCATCTAGGTGGAAGCAGTAATCATCTAAATGGAAGCAAGAAGGTTCGCTTCACAGAAGGTTCTGAGTATTTGTAGAGGTGCTCCTTGGAAATCTCAGTCAGGAGAGGGACATGTCTAGGGATAGGTGGCTGCCGTAGGCTTCTATACCTGAAGCCTTCCATTTCCTCTTCTTCTCTAGGCTGTCCAACAATGGCATCACCCACCTGGGTGCAGAAGCTCTCCTGCAGGCCCTCCAGATGAACACCACCATCCTGGAAGTCTGGTAAGGTTCCTGGTGATCTCTTTGAGCCTCATTTTTTCCTATCTATGAAATGGGGTGAGGGATGAGAGAAATGGCCGCATCCCTTCTGCTTGTGATAAATCCAGATCTCTGGCTAGGAAGAGAGACATCAGGTCTCCAAGCAGAGAATGGTTCTTCTACTTAAAACCAGGAGTATTTTTATTTTCTATTTTAAGCAACAAGGTAGGTAGGTATCAAAGGATAGGAGAATGAAAAGAATGTAGCTTCCCGCCCTCCTGCTTTGTGACAGAGTCTTCCAATGTAGCCTAGGCAGGCTGGCCTCAAATTCAAAATCTGTCTCTGCCTTCCAAGTATTGGAATTACACAGAGTCATGTGCCCTCATAGTGCCCTCATACCTAGTCTGAAATACAATTCTGAGTAGGAAATTTAAGTTTTTAAATATTGGTATATATTGCTCGAAACATATAGTAACACTCACTTATGAGTGTTTCTATTTATTATTTGAAGTCCCTGGAAATGAGTGTAAATCTTTGTGACTTGATGTTAGTTTGTTTTAAGTCTATGAAAGACTCTAGCTTTTAATGATACAGGTGTGGCCATGCTGTGTCATGATCTCCACCCTATAGAACCCTCAGGATCCAAAGCAATGGGAGATGCAGATGATACCTTTTGTCTGCCTCTCCATGAGAGCCTGTGACCCTTGTTTTAAGCTTATAGATAGACCTGTCTCTTCCTCAAAAAGTATATCAAGGTAAGAACAAATTTGTATTGAAATTCAAAACAAAAACTCTCAACTGTCCCCAGGGCTGGAAAGCTTTTGCTTTTGGTATGATTTAGCAAGTCCATAGCCCGTGAAGTCAGCAGAACAAAGGCTCAAGAGGGTTGTTTTTAAATCATTGCACAATCTTAAGAAATGTCACATTCTGTGTTCAGGGAACAGCCAGCCTCAGGTTGATATTTAAGGGCTGTGATGTCCTCATCGATGGGGCTGGGTGTCAGAACTTGATCCTTGCATTCTTGACAGATTTGGTTGTTGCCTGAAAAAAAGATTGACCAGCCTTGGGGAGTATACGCCCCATTGGGCCTAGTGTTGTAGTCATTCTGCCAGGTCACTGCATCTTGTTCATCATAGGCAATAATTCATGAACTGCTCTGGGGACAGAGGGTTAAAAACAGCATCACATTCATCATTCCTCGCTTGTAGCTAGGCCCAAGGGCCAGCCCCTCCCAGGCATAGGTTTAAAGAGGAGCAGCTTCCCTTTGAAAGACCTGTTCTAATTTTGTTACTTTGTCTCTGCAGGCTCCGAGGGAACACTTTCTCTCCAGAGGAAACGGAGATGCTCAGCCACACAGACTCCAGACTCTTGCTTTGATGTTTCTGGGCTGACATTCATCTCACTTTGTTTGTGAGCTATCTGTGGGTTTGGACTCTGGAAGCTGGATGTCTGGCCAATGCCTTGTCCTGCTGAGGATTGGATTTTTTTTCTGGGAGCAATGCAGGTCATCTTACTCTGACTGAAGGCTCTTCAGGACCCTCTAGAATCAACTTTTCCCAAACCCGCTTCTGACATCAAGTTCTTCCCAAACCATGGATAAAATGCACAGAGGGGCTGCTGGGGAAGGGAAGACAAGGGGACCCATAAATGCCTGTAGGTTTAGAAACCTGGACCCTCATGAAAGGTGCCCCGAGACATCTCAGGAGGCGCTCTTAGCTCTCAGCCACATCTTGACTCAGGCCATCTGTCGTAGCCTGGACTCACACCAAAAGCATCTATTCTTTCCTGGTTCTTCCACTTCTTCTGCCCGAGACCCAACAGCATCCTAACCCTGGCATTCAGGTCATACAGTTGCCCTGCTTTCCTTGCTGGTGCTTAAAACGTGGTTGGAAGGAGAAACACAGCAGCATTTTGTCCCTCAGACATTCTAGATTTGCAAGAAAAATGTGACCACACTCCAGCAGAGATCACACATGGACATTTTATTTCCAGTGAAATCAATTACTCTCCAGTTAAGCTTTTGGAAGCAGCAACATGTCCAAAGGCAGCTTTTTAAAATTAATCTGGGCCAGCATTTCAAACAGCCCTATTAGGCCTCCGGCTGATGCCTATGAACTGAACTTTGACAACAGACTTCTGAAACACAACCATAAAGCAATAATGATATTTCACTTGTGACAGAATGCACTGGGATATATTAATTGGGGATTAGAAGTTTACATGGGGACAAAACCAAGCTCCTCCTTCAGAGTAAATGTCTTTCTGGATTTTTCCAAATAATGTAGGTCAAAACCTTTGTAAACTGTTAGGTGCTCTGCAGATGTTACTACTGTAAATCTTATTTATGTGTGAAAACTGGTGAATATTTGTAAATGCAATTGTTTTATTCTCTCGAGTTGGTATTTTGTAGAAAACATGCCTGTGAACTTTATAGCACAAATTATACAGAAGAAAAATGCTTATCAAATTCCCAGCTTTCTTCATTGTGATCAAACATTTAAAAATATTCCTTAAGCTTGTCAAATTTTAAAGCACAATGTTCTACTTGAATTTTGGGGGGTGTTCAACCAGATAATTTACTGCTTAAGGCAAAAGCAGTTCTCAGAAATAGGCTGGCAATCAGAACACATTTGGCTTCAGCATAGAAAAGTCTAACCAGCGTGAAGTTTTAAGCTGTGCAGGAGGAGCCCGCAGTGTCTGGGCTGAGAGACTATGGCAAATGTGGAAAGGCCTCTGGGTCTTTTCTCAAGTCTCTCCATGTGGCTCCAGGAATCTTTTAACAGGAGAAGGATGGAGAAGGTTTGTGTTCAGCTTTCCTCTGCCAGCAACCTCCTGTGCAGGCCTTGCTGAGATCATTCTTAGCTATATTTAATGAGCAAGGGCTCAGGTGACTGCTGGCCTGTGGTGGACTCTTGCTTCCTTGAAAGGTTTTTGTGAGCATCTGGCTCAATAAATGCTGTCGCATGTCCCTGGTCTCCTAATGTGAGCCTGTCTGTGGCACTCTTTGTTATTGGGCTTTGTCTTGGTTGGACTATTCTTTCTAGTATAGATGATCAGGAGGAAGGGAGAGGTTGATCTGCTTTCTCTGAAGGGAAAACACACAAGCCTATTTGCAAAGCACCATAATGGGTTGTAAATTCATCTTCATCAATGACTTATTAATCAGTTATGTTATGGCCAATCAGTAGATGAACAAAGCGGGTATAGTGTCTTGGTGCCTCTGAAGGTGCATAGAGGGGAAGGCAGGCAGAAAACTAATATATTAAAATACATATGCACGCTCCCCCCACACGTGTCCATTGCAGTAAGTGTTAGGAAGGAAATTGCCCTAATTTGGTTTTGAAATGTCCATCAAAGTCCTATGTATTGAAGGCTTGATCCTGGCCTGCGTGCTACTGGGAGATGGTGAAGCCTTTAGGAAGTGAAGCCTAATGGAAGGAAGTTAGGTTCATATCAGGAACCCCGCCCTCTACCTCTCTTGCTTCCTGGCTGCCATGCAGTAAGCAGCTTCCGCCACCACATACTCTTGCCATAATGTAAAATGCTGCCGCATGCCCAAAGTATTATAAACAGCTGGCGGAGTTCCTTCTGCTCTCCCCAGACAGAAATTGTGAGTAGGCAAAGGAAAGCTTTTCTAGTGCTCTTGGTGGATGGTTGTAGGTGGACGAGTGAATGTTAGAATGTAGTAGCAGTCTCTCCTGGACTATTGACAACTGGGATGAAGTACAGCTAAGGTGCAGTATAGGATGTGAGGCTCAACCAGATGAGCTACTCTCTGTCTGCCACTTGCAACAGTTTCACTTGGTCTAATCAGCTTGCTGGCCTGAACTGCCTTACCTTCCTGCCACAGCTGCTTCTTTCTCTTTTCTTTTTTTTCATGATAGGAGTTCAGCAAAGGTGGGCAAGCCCCTGCACAAGAAAGTCTTTATGTAATCCTGATTTTAAAATACCAAGGGGGATAGCCAGGATGGGGAGGGCTCAAGGGTGTGTCTGAGGGAAATACCACCGTGTTTACACCAATCTTGTGATAATCTATTTTGCTCACTGAGGATTATGTTTACACCAATCACATACCTGCATTTGGATTGAAGTGCTATCCCTGCCCCTACCCCCCACACCTGAGTGGAAGTAATAGCCCATCTTATATTCAGCTGGAGTTTGTTGCAAGATGCTTATTGGAGCAGTATCTTGAGGTGTTAGAGTAGTGCGCTGGAAGTTGGCATCAGGACATTCTGACTGACTGGTTTAGCAGTCTTTTCTCAAGGTAGCTGAGGTCATGTAGAAGGCTCTAGCAGCTAGCAACTAGTAAGTAGCAGCGTTATATAGTTGTCTCTCACTATATCATGCTTCTCTTATTGCTTCTTCACAGATTTTCCCCTGTGGTGGGGGTCTCTGAAACAACTCCTGTGATAGGTAAGGGATCACTATTTACCTATTTCTTTTTAAACCCACAATACAGTGAAGCCATAATAGGTGAACTGCCATAGAAAAAGGATGACTGTAATTAGTAATACTTTGATAATATTTAACATTGCTCTAACAAGCTTATTTTCTGTCCCAGTATCCCAGGAAGAGGTGGGTCCCTAACAATCTGTATCAAAGGCAGCACGGTCAAATGACCTTTGACCAACCTCAGAAACCAGGAGCCCAGAACAAAATTTTTCCTTCTTTGTAAGTTGTTTCTCTCCAGTATTGTTTATCTCAGCTAAGGAAAGCTGACTAACACAGAAATAAAGACACTAGGTAAAAGGGACCTTCTTCAGATTGCTGGAAGATTGGTCCAAGACAGGTTCTCTGAAGAGGTATCAGGTAAACTGTCTTCCTAAGAATGGGAAGAAGCTGGCCATGCCACGAGTGACCAGGGAGATAGAACCTTTGTCACAGGGAGCCAGGTGTGTGTGTGTGTGTGTGTGTGTGTGTGTGTGTGTGTGTGTGTGTGCGTGTATACACACTCTTGTTATGGAATAAAGCATGGTATGTGTGGCAGGGTGAGTAGTGGACCCTAAAAACTTTGAGGTTCTAATTCCCAGGAACTTGTGAATGTTGCCCTACATGAAGAATGTTGTTATTTTTGTACAAGTGATTAAGTCAAGGATCTTGAGAGTTAAGGATAGATGATTCTGAATTATCTGCTAGGTCCTAAATGTAATGATAATGTCTTTATGAGAAACGCAAAGGGAGAGCTGAGTCAGGAGAAGTCAGAACTGCGACTACTGAAGCAGATGCCACACTGGCACCTTTGAAGATGGAGGAAGGAGCCAGGAACCAAGGACTACAGTGCTAGAAGCTGGAAAAAGCAAGCAACCAGATTGTCCTACAAAGCCTAAGAAGGAGAACAGCCCTGCCTACCTAGCCTCCAGCTCACTTTGGACTTCTGGCCTCCAGGACTGTAAAAGGATAACTGGTGTCACTTGAAGCCATCAGGTTGTGGTAGTTTGTTACAGCAGCTGTAGGAAGCTAATACAGTCTGTTTGGGATGAGCTCAGAAGAGTGACACTTGATGGATTTGCAGAAGTCAATGGGACCAGTTCTTGAGGAGTCTAGATGTCCATGGCGAAGAACTTAATCTTGATCTTAAACTACTAGCAAGCTAACAGAGAGTTCTAAAAGGAAAGATGCAGCCAGATTTACACTTAATGAGGTTCCCTTGGCTCCTGGCTGGGAATGGGACTGGAATGTGTAGGAGTGAGGATGGAGGAAGCAGAAGTTCGGAGGCTGCCTAGGAGCTCTTGCAAGTAAAGAGGTAGTGGGCCCACCTCAGGGTGGGTTGTGGAGATGGAGAAAAGAAGATGGACTCCAAAGACCCTGGAAGTGAATCTCTAAGATCTCTCAGATGAGGTTTAGACTTGAAATGTTCTTCAAAGTTCCATGTGTTCAAGGCTTTGTTGCCAGCCTGTGGTGCCTTTGGGAGGTCGTGGAACTTTCAAAAGATATGGCCTACTAGGCCTTTACAGTCATTAAGGGTGTGTCTTTGAAGGAGCTTTGGGACTCTGATCCCTCCCTCTCTCCCTCCCTTCCTTCCTCCCTTCCCCCTCTCTCTTTGTCTCCTGGCTGCCAGGAGGCGAGCTCCTTCTTCCATCTCATGCTCACCACTATCAGGTAATGTGTACAACCACAGGCCCAAAATAATAGGGCTAACTCACCTGGGATGAAACTGTGTGCCAAAACAAACCTTTCCCCCTTATAAGTTAGTTTTCTCAGGTATTTTGTCACAGCATCAGAAAGCTGACTAACACAAATCCCCTGGAATGTCAGCCACCAGATCATGTTCATGGCATGGTCTTCCAGTCTAAAAGGGTGTCCAGCACATAGTGGGCACTTATTGGTTATTGGGTAACTTACATGAGGAATCTACTTAAAGGGAGCATAAAATCAAAGTTGGGGCAGATTATAATGATGGATTGTCTTTTTTCTGACTCTGAAAGTGCTTCCTATGAAAGGGAGGCTGTGCTGACATGGGACCATTCTTAGTGTAACACCTGCTCCAAATAGGATTGCAGATATAGCACAAACATCTCGATGATAGCTCTAGCTCTGCTCTTGTTTTTACACACACACACACACACACACACACACACAAACACAGATCATTTATCATCAATAGCAGCAAATAGCTCCTACAGGAGAGCATGGGCTTACAGTTCTGCTGGATTAAATATGATTAAAGGAATTCTTTTTATCTCATGAAAAGGAGGTTTTAAGGGCCTAGAGTAAAGACCCCCCCCCCATGATTAGGGTTTCCTGTCCCTGAGAGTTAAGCAAATCTATAGGATAAAGAATTCTCAGCTCCTCATCCAGTGATGGTGGCATCACATTGAAGGCCTATGGAGAAAACATTGGCATCATATCCTGGCCTGTGGAATGCCTGATTCAGGAAGCCCCTTGGCTCAGAGTACTTTCTGAATGGTCATATTCACTGTATTGGTGTGAAAGTGACTAGAACTATGGAAGGAAACTGGGTGAATAACTGGGGGATTCCATTGGCTGTAATGGGAAGGGCAGAAGGATTACATAGGTTAGGGGAAGTCAGGGGAAGTCACTTTCAGCAGCCTTGTTTGCAGTAGCAGAACAGCATAAGAAATCAACATGGAATTTAGTGAGCCAGAAGAAGGGGGCCTGTGGTGGCCACTAGAAAGCACAAGCAGGATGTGCTCCGTAATATGGACAGTGTTGCTATACAGAGAGCAGTGTTGCTTGTCTTCCTTCCTTGTTTCTTTTCTTCCCTCCCTCCCTCCCACCCTCCCTCCCTCCTTCCCTCCTTCCTTCCTTCCTTCCTCCCGTTCTCTATTTCTTTCTTCTTCCTTTCTTTTTCTTTCTTCCTCCCTTCCCTTCCTCCTTCTCTTCTTTCCTTCCTCCATTCTTCCCTCTTCCTTTCCCTTCTCCATTTCTTCCTTCCTCCCTCCTTCCTTCCTTTCTTTCTTGTACTGGTTCTGCGGCTTAAACTCGGGACCTCCTACTTTTCCT